GATAGATAGATAGATAGATAGATAGATAGATAGATAGATAGATAGATGTATATACACACATTTCATGTCAATACTGAGAAGCTGTTTTTATAACAAAAACAATTCAGCAAAACGTTGTCTCCTTAATGGAAAGTGAAAATATACTAGTAGTGTCCCCAAGAGCCCCGTGACCAGTCACAGCAGCAGAACAGGCCCTGAGGCTCAAACCATCCCCTTTCCATCCCATCATTTGAGTCTCAGCTATGATATCATGGCTGTCCTAGGACTGGCTCCTCAGACGTCGCCACCTTCCGTCTCAGCAGGGGCCATCTCTGCCTTTACAGTTCAGCTGCAAGAAGACAGAAGTGCGCTTTGTGCCATTTCTAGATCCTCATGTTGGGTCTTCCGTGGCGTTACGCTTCTGCGGTGAGCCTGTAAAGCATGGTGGGCTCCCAGCAGTACTCTGTTTGCTGCTAGAAAGTGTAGGTCCTTCCTACAACACTTTCCCAGCATGTATTCAATTCCTGGTACCATGGAAAGAAAAAAAACCACACTCCCTGTTTAAAATGAATGTGACCTGTACAGACGTGACTCATCTTTATCACGCTTCTCATCAGGCTAACGTTTTGTATGTCATTGCCTATGAGGTCAAAGTCATGTTGAAGTCTCAGGGACAGGAGAGTTAGGAGATGGGTCAAGGAGCTGTGTCTGCCCTTCTTAGGGGATTGAGAAGTCCTCCCATAAGCCCAGCATCTATCAGTGAGGGCACCCTAATCCTCATTATCTTTCTATCACTTTGACAAAAATCCTGGAGAAACCAACTTCTTTTGGCTCCCAGTCTCGGGGTTTTTGGCCCATCGTTACTTGGCCTCGTTGCTTCAGACCTGTGGCCCATGGTGGAGGGAGAGCGTCTCAAATGCTAGCCAACAGGAAGCAAAGACCAAGAGAGAGGGGGCAAGGCTATGGAGACAAAATTATCCTTCAAGGAAACTTCCTCCCCAATGGCCTGCTTCTTCCCACTAGGCCCTGCCTCCTAACATCTACACCACCCACTAACAGCCCACTCTGTTGTGAATCTGTCACTAGCGCCAAAGCCTTCAGAATCTAGTCATTTTACCACCTTTGACCATTGCAGCTTTGGAGACCAAGCCTGCAACACACAAGTTTTGTTGGGATGGTGCAAGGCGAGGTAAAGTGGGGTATTTGGGATCTGAACTCTAATGCCCATCTTCCTGTCTTCCAGGGTTCCAGGGTAATATGAGGGATATGCTATGCTGAGTCCATTTGGAACCAAACTGCTGAGGGAGAGGAATCTTTGCAGTGATGCTTCTTCCTGCTTTGTTGTGTTTTAAAAACAACAACAACAACAACAGCTAAAACCAGTTTTTATCACAACAATTCTAATAAAGCAGCCGTGGATCAGCCCTTGGTATCCAAGCTCTGTCTGTTGTGTAGAGGATGTGCACCGTCTGGCCAGGGATCTGGGAAGATGCTGAAAGTTGGCATATGTGGTTGCACTGAGCATAGGATTGGAGTCAAAGCCAGGATGACGCTCAACATAATGATATACATAATAGTCACATGGCATTTACATTCAATAACATCACATATTTTGACAGTATTTTCCCGTTGTTACCTGCTTCTGTCACGACTCTCCAGGTGCCAGGTCAGTATTCTAAGAGGATCCTAGGCTAATAATACTGACAAAACTGCAGTAAGTTTCATCAGGAAACTAAAAGGGAAGCTGAGTGAGGGAGTTCACACCTTTAATCCCAGCATTTAGGAGGCAAAGGCAAGTGAATCCATGTGAGTTCAAGGCCAACATGATCTATGTAGCAAATTCCGGGCTAGCCAGGGCTATGTAGTGAAACCCTATCTCTAAAGGGAGAAGAAAAAGAAGGAGGAGGAAGAAAAAGAGAAAGAGGAAGAAGAAATATGGGTCATGGTTGTACATGACTTAAATCCTAGAACAAAGGGGGCAGAGGCAGGCAGCTGTCTTCAAGTTCAAGGCTAGCCTAGTCTCTATAGTGAGAGCCTGTCTCAAACAAAAGGAATTAAAAAGTTAAATTTAGTTTCCAGGGTGGAAACTAAAATCAGCCAATTCTTTCAAGCACATTAGGACAGTATTTTACCAGTGTTGAATTCTTTCAGTAGGTGGAAGGGAGGAAGCTTTCCTCTTAGCTATCTCTGCAAGTCCGGAGTTACCTCAGGCCAACAATAAACATATTTGTGGATGAATACCCTTCACAAAAGTGTATATAAAAATCCATTAGCATTTTAGGAAATTCTGACCGATCCATGAAGAAGGATGGCTGTGGTGGCTTAAATGACAATGGCCCCCATAGGCTCACATGCTTCAAAGCCTAGTCCCTAGTTGGGGAACTGCGTAGGAAGGATTAGGAAGTATGGTCTTGTTGGAGGAGGTATGTTGCTAGGAGTGGGCTTTGAGGTTTCAAGTGCTGAAGCCAACCCCAGTGTCTGTATTCTTGCTGCCTGCCAAGATGTAGAACTCTCAGCTACTCCTCCAGCACCATATTTCCCTGTATGCTGCCTTGTTTCCTGTCATGATGATAATGAACTAAACCTCTGAATGTAAGCAAGCCCCAATTAGACATTTTCTTTTATGAGAGCTGCCGTGGTCACGGTGTCCTTTCATGGCTAAGAAACCCTGGCTAAGACAGAAGTTGGTATCAGCAGTGGGGTGTGGTTGTGATAGGCCAGACTGTGCTGTTGCTTAGAGTGAATGTGGACTTTGGAACTTTAGGGAAGTAATAGAAAGCTTTAAATGGGTCTAATGTGCCACACTAGTAGGAGTATGGGAGACAGTGGTGCATTTGAACTGTGGGGGGCCTGGATCAAGAAGATTCAGAGGAGAAGAATATTAGTAAATTGCCTATAGACTGGTCTTGTGAGATTTTGGTAAAGAATGTGGCTGCTTTCTTCCCTTGTCCAAAAAGTCTGCCTAAGGCTGAATGGAAGAGTTTTTTATTTACCTGAATTGGCAGAGGACACTTCAAAACAGCTTAGTATTGACTGTGTCCTGCGGTTATTAGTCAACAGTCTTATTCGGATATATAATGAAAGTATCCAGCTGAGCAGAAAAAAAAAACACAAAATGTACAGTTCAAGCAGAAAAGGGGCATCAGTAAAAAGTTTAGAGAAAGGCCTGATGTTAAATGGAATTAAGAGAGTGAAGACCTTAGGGTAAGACACCACCCAGCTAAACTTCCAACTTGAGAAAAGGAATTTTTTTAAAAAGCTTCAGGATGGGTGGTAGTGGTACCCACCTTTAAACCCAGAACTCCAGAGACAGAGGCAGGCTGATCTCGATGGAGTCCCAGGTCAGCCAGGCTTAGGCAGTGAAGGAAACCATCAAAAACAGAAAGCTAGTAAAAATGTATTTGAAGGGGGGGGGGGCGGGCATGTTCCAGTCCTAGCAAGCAAAAGAACTTGGCAGCTTCAGCCACATGTTTCTGGAGTTAAGGATAGAAGAAAGGGGCTTGGAATCTTCCTCCTTGACAAAGGAAAGTGGCTGAGACCAGGCATGTCGGAGGTGTTCTTGCATGGAGGCCTAGAGAAGTCATTGCATGAAGCTGTCATAGTGAAGCTTGGATTGTCTTGGAGAGTCCAGGATGTTGAGGATGCCAGAGCCGTGGGACACCTGCTGAGGAGAGCTGCTAACAGGGAGTGGAAGCAGCCCAAGAGGAAGAAGTGTGTTGCAGTCAACAAAGGAGAAAGGAGTTGGAGACCTGAAGAGAGTTTTCACAATAGACAAGAAGATGTAGAGTTTGGAGTTTGCCCAGCTGGTTTTAGGACTTGTTTGACCCAGTATTTCCTCACTGTGCTCCCTTTCCTCCCTTTTGGAAGGGTGGTGTATGCCCTGTGCTACTGTATGTTGGGAGTATGTGGTCTGTGTTCGCACACTTTTTCATTTTGATTTTACAGGGTGTTACAGTTAAGACTCCTATGAGTCTCAGAAAAGACTTTGAACTTTGGGTTTAAGTATTGAGATTGTATGGGGACTAAATGAATTCATTTTGCATTATTTTATGGTACAAGCCTATGGGACTAGGGAGTGGGATGTGGTGGTTTGAATGAAAACGGCCCCCGTAGGCTCATAAGGAGCATGACTGTGAGAAAACTGGAGGAGACACACCCATTTCTCTTGACTGTCAGGTCATGTTCCGCCCATCCAGCTAGGGCACACTGGGTAGAGCCAAGCTTCTCACTGTGCTGGAGAGACCTCTGTCCCTGTCAACAGGTGGGCCACCTGTCTTAGGATTTCTCCTGCTGTGAAGAGACACCATGACCATGGCAGCTCTTAAAAGGAAAATATTTACAGTTCAGAGGTTTAGTCCATTATCTTCACGGCAGCAAGCATGGCAGCGTGCAGGCAGATGTGGTGCTGGAGAAAGAGCTGACTCACATCTTGACTCACAGACAACAGGAAGTGACCTGATCTCACTGGGCACGGTTTGATCATATGTGAGACCTTAAAGCCTGCTTCCACAGTGACACACTTCCTCCAAGAAGACCACACCTATTCCAACAAGGCCACACTTCCTAATAGTGCTATCCCCTTTGAGGGGCCATTTTCTTTTAAACCACTGCACCGCCTCAGGCACACCTGACCTGGAGAAGCTGTCTCCTCCAGGTTGTGCTTCTATTACTGTAACGGTCTGTCCTGTCCCTTTAAGAGACGAGCCCCGCCCACTCCTCCCCCCTTCAGTCTAGTCAAGCCATCTTTCTTTTGCTTAGCTTCCAGCCTGCACTTTCTCTGCCCTGTCTCTCTTGGAAGAGGTGGTTGCTGCCCTGCCTCCTCACCTCTCCTCATCTCTCCTCTCCTCCCCTCTCCTCTCCGCCCCTCTCCTTCCCTCTTTTCCTCTCCTCTCCCCACCTCTCTCCATTTCTCTCTTTCTCTCTCCCTCCTCCTTCCCTTTCCTTCTCATTTACTAAATAAGCTATATCTAAACTCACTCTGCATGCTGTGCCTCTCCATCTCTGTCTCTCACCGGCCGTGGCTCCTCCTCCTCCAGGGACCTGCTGCCTGCAGAGGTATCTCACCCACTGCCGCCATCTTCCACCTGCCTGGGACCCACAGAGGCCTCAAGCGGTGGGACCCAGCTGCCTCTGGTGGCCCGCTGCTGCCCTTCAGGGACCTGCCCCATTTTATCATTACAATTACCGTCTTGCCGTAGACCAGCTGTGATGACCCACACTAGACTCTCATGAGATGGGACCTTCAAATGTTCCGTTGTGGGGGGAAGGGAAGGAGGGTGAGAGCACCTGCTGCTCTTCCAAAGGTCCTAAGTTCAATTCCCAGCACCCACATGGCAACTCACAGCTGTCTGATGCCCTCTTCTGCTATGCAGATGTACATGCAGACAAAGTACCCATACACATAAAATACATAAATCAGTTTACACACACAAGCATGTATACATGCACATCTGGAACTAAATTCACCCCATAGGCCATAGTTAGCTGACTCTTACAAAATGTTGCTGAGAGAAACAGTGAAAAGATCTAAAAATTATGGGGACAATGGTCTATCACAGCTCTGTACTGAAAAAAATGAATATTTGATAAATTGCCTAATTTGGTCAGGATATTAAAATATAATCTTTGCAAGCCAGGTGGTGGTGGTACAGGCAGAGGCAGGTGGATCTCTGTGAGTTTGAAGCCAGCCTGGTCTACAGAGCAAGTTCCAGATGGGGCTACAAAGAGAAACCTTACTCAGGGAGGAAAAAAAAAATGAAATTTGAAGAAGTACTGGTATTCTTTAAAAAAAGAAAAAGATTTATTTATTGATATGTATACAGAGTTCTGCCTACATATATGCCTGCAGGCCAGAAGAGGGCACCAGATCCCATTACAGATGGTTGTGAGCCTCCATGTAGGTGCTAGAAATTGAACTCAGGAAATTGAACTAGGAAAAGCAGTCAGTGCTCTTAACTACTGAGAAATCTCTCTAGCCCCAAGATGCTGGTATTCCTAAAGAGATCAAGACTCCATGAAGGCAGATAGTCAGCATTTGAATTGAAGTAACAAAGAAAGAAAACATTTCCATACACAAATGAGTGCAGAGGTAAGGGTGACACAGGAAACGGCCATCTGTAGGATTAGAGAATCTGATCAAATATCAGCTGAGGCTAGCCTCCAGCCTGGGAGAGTCTGTTGTGAGGAATGTCGGGCTAGGGCAGTGTCTGTAAAAACAGAAACAAAACCAAAAAACACAACAACTAAAACATTCCTCCCTCACCCACAAGTGGGCAGTCAACAAGGAGCCTGTGGATTTGAATAATCCCCAAGTGGGTGGTGCTCACCAGACCACACTTGGTCAACACCTTATGTTATGGTAAAAATAAAATGCTGCCAGTCCCTGAGTGCAGTGGGCAATGAGACCATGGTGAGCCACAAAG